AAATCTGTATTATTTATTACCTGATACCTTCTCTTGCTTGATGGTCTCAAGGGTGCATCCACTAAGCCGCCAAATATTGCTCCATTACGATCCCCAACAACCTGGATAATAACATGAAAAAAAAATAAAAAATAAAAAATCTAAACTCAGAAATATATTTGTTCCCAGCTTTATCTTAATAAAGTGAAGCAGTTAATTTCAAGAATTTCTGCTAGTTCTCAACGAAGGCATTAAAAAATCATCAGAGCAATAATATCAAATGTCACTTCATTCTGTACTTATCATGAGAGAGAGAGAGAGAGAGAGAGAGAGAGAGAGAGAGAGAGAGAGAAAGAGAGAGAGTACCAGCAAACTGAGACCAGGCCAAATCATACTTCTTCTGTACAATGTTGAAAGAGATATACCATGCCTCCAAGTACTGAAAGAGAGAAAGAGAGAGAATTAATAAACGAACACATAAATGAAATTCCGATAAAAAGCACAAGTAACATGAGACATGCACATAGAACCTATATAATAGCATCCATTTTCGTCCCTGAACAATCACAGGAAGTGCGGCATAAAGCACACTCCGAATCTTTTCAGAAAGAAGTACCGATGGCTCAGAAGTTTCCGGAAGATTCTCAGAAGAGATCACTGATACCGATTCATTCAGAGTCTGCATTGAAATCCCTTCATTCCGAGTATCACTTCCATTTCCACCAGATGTATCAGGTTTGCCTTTGGGGCCTAGATTTCGAAAACCACCAATCTTTGCAGCTTGATAGAAGGCTTTGCCAAGGGTATGCTTACCCCTCGAAAACAAACTTTTCTTTCTTGAGCTCTCTTTAATTACTATTGGTTCGGTTGGTTGCTTAAGCTCACCCTCATGAGTATCAGATCTTTCTTCTGAATGATTTTCGTGTCCGGAGGATGACAAAAACGAATATAGAAATGCAGAAAAAGATGACGTATCGGGACCATCGACAGAGCCCTTCGAATCCTCCTCCACATCCGATTGGCTGTTCAGAGAGTTGTTGAGACCATCCTACAAACCATGATCCAATTTACAAAAACCGAAAACGGCTATCAATTAGAGCTACTTTAGATATCGAAAACCAGCTTGAAAGCAGCCAAAAGCAACAGATAAGTTAACGAGAAAAATGATGAAAATTGCATCCTATCAACAGTGTCCCATTTCAGTACTTCGGTCATCCCACAAGTGTAAATTTTCAGAAACGAATGTCCGAAAATAGAACAAAAGCTCTCTTTAACAATCGAAAAATAACTAAAACCCAGCTCATGTCCAGAACGCAAAACCCACAAAATCCAGATATACCAGCTCATAACCCTAATTCGACACACAAGAATAAAGCAAAAAAAATCGAAACTTGGACAGCTAATCACCAATATCTCACACACAGCTCAAGAAAATTGACAAACAAACAAAAAGGGAAAGCTAAAATAACACTCATACATGAGAAGACGGCTTTGGCGGCGGCGCGGAGGGTTTGTCGGAGATGGGGTTGAGGATAACAGTGGTGATATCGGATACAAAGTGCACGGCTTTGCTCCTCAGCGACTTTGACTGCTGCTGCTGCTTTTGTTCTTGCTCTTGTTCATCCTGCTTTCTCCCCATTTTCTTTTTTATGATGCCTCGATTATCTATCTT